TTTTATTTTACATTCTGCACTCGAACGTTTTCGTTCAATACATGCAATTTCGTTTGGCAAGAAATGGTATAAGATTCCTTTGTTTTTACCAAAAATGTATTTTTATGGTTTTGCTTTCCTCTTGCTTTTCGTCGGTGCAATATTATAACCGTTTAGAGCATTTTCATTTGGCGAGGAAGTTGCGAGAAGTCCTGAGGGCCTGACAAGGACAGTTGTCTAGTCCTTCGGATGAGACGAAAAACCGAGGTCCCGTGTATATATTGGAATGCACGTAAAAGATCCCCTGGCAGTTTGAATTCGATACAAGAGTAGGCGATAGTGCCGCTGCCCGGGCAAAATTTCCCTCATAGTACACTGTATGGCGTATGCCCGTCTTCATTAGCCCAGTATAGGAGCAGAACAGTAGGACGTTAAACCCCATTTAATTTCATTTCATTGCGAGCAGTCCTGTAATCCATCTTTTGGTTGTGTCGATTGGTCCAATTTTCTTCCCGTGGAACTCGATTCAATTTTGCGGTCGCAATTCTTCTCTCAACAATCAAAACAATTCCACCTCGTGTATATGATCCTTTAAGTCGGGTTTTAGTAGCACGTGTAATAAAAGCCATATATAAATATATGTTAATTCCAGTATTTGCAATCATGAAATTAAAAATACTTCAGCTTACAACTGTTATGAGTGAGAGAGGGTAAGTCCACTCGACAATAGCGTCTGTACATTTTACAAGTATTCTGTCTGTTCGGGTTTTTTTTTTTTTTAAAGATTTGATCAACAAAAAATATGCAACAATCCCAACAAATGTAACATGCCATATTTTATCCCCTGTTGTGTTTTCCAGTTCAGATAAAATTTGACAAAATTCACGTTTCTTTGAATAAATATTTGTATCTCCGCATAACATGGTGATCTAAATCGATGCAAACACACCATACAGAAATCGACGTATTCGAATGATGAGCAGTCATGTCGCGAAAGGACAGCAGCTGTCGTCCGTCTGGTTGTCGTGCGGTTCTGGGCGCGACTGCGAACTTAACGTTCTACATTTCGGCACCAACCGTGCTAATGAAAATGGACAGACACCATGCATGATATGCGGGATAATGTGCCCGCACATCGGGGTTCCGCCTAATTTTCATCGAATTCCACCTTGAAAAGGGTTCTTTTACGTGCACGCCATCATCTACCTTGGACCACTGGCCCTTATTCGTTCCCTTTTTCGCAACATTGACGTTCGGCAACCATGCTGCAAAATTCACTTGAATTCTCCCGGCAAACACCGGGATGGAACCAGGTTAGTGAGTCTGTGCCATATATTCTGAGCCACCCTGGCTCCCGCAGTAGGACGAAGGCAAACCCAAACCATGTGACGGAGCAATGGTAGTCCCTTTCCACTGCCTAGTTTTCCGTTTATACCGTTTGAGGTACAAGTGCTAGAATTTGCGGGTTTAACGTCGAAAACATAAAAAAATCACAAGGATAACAGTTTCATCTTTCACGATATTCAAGACTATTTAACAAGCCCTATCCAATCCGCTTTTCTTTAAAGCTCAGAGAATGTGGGGTTTTTTTAGAAAAAATATCCTCCGAGGTCCTCATTCTTCCGATCAGAATCGAAATCTCATTTGATATGACTTGATTTGCACCTATATCGATTCTGTATCTTCTAACCCCCTTGTGTACAAACCGCTAAAACATTCACACCCCAAACAAACCATGTCCTAATGTTATTCCAGTTATTTCTATCTCTGTTTTATTGAATCGACAGACCACCGACTTGTACCCGATACCTTAATCTGATAGAAAATATACAGAGGTTGGCTTTTTACACATTTCTCTATACTTCATCAAATACAGTTAATCCTCGGACATAATCTTTAAAGTAGCCACCATACGGCTAACACGTGGTCGACCGACGCCTGGCTGGATTTTTACAAGGCTTTTTTTGTTCATCTAGATGATAAACCTCCCTTCAAACCAAACCGAAATCCACCACCTGTTCAATATTACCAGGAAAGAGAAAATAAAAGAAATGTTATCATTTATGAAAATTTTATTTGGCATTCTATATAAGACAAGGAGTTGTTTTTGTTTATTAATATTCTATACAATGAGTTGTTTTTGTTTATTAGTCTTCTATACAAGACAATGAGTTTTTTCTGTTTATTAGTATTCTATATGAGACAATGAGTTGTTTTTGTTTATAGTTGTTTCTGTTTATTAGTATTCTATATAAGACTATGAGTTGTTTCTGTTTATTATTATTCTATATAGGACTATAAGTTGTTTTAGTTTATTAATATTCTATATAAGACTATGAGTTGTTTCTGTTTATAAATATTCTATACAAGACAATGAGTTGTTTCTGTTTATTAGTATTCTATATGAGACAATGAGTTGTTTTTGTTTATAGTTGTTTCTGTTTATTAGTATTCTATATAAGACTATGAGTTGTTTCTGTTTATTATTATTCTATATAGGACTATAAGTTGTTTTAGTTTATTAATATTCTATATAAGACTATGAGTTGTTTCTGTTTATAAATATTCTATATAAGACTGTGAGTTGTTTCTGTTTATTAGTATTCTATACAAGGCTATGGGTTGTTTCTGTTTATTAGTCTTCTATATAAGACAATGATTTGTTTATGTTTATTAGTATTCTATACAAGGCAATGAGTTGTTTGTGTTTATTAGTTTTCTATGAGTTGTTTTAGTTTATTAGTATTCTATATAAGACTATTAGTTGTTGCTGTACATTAGTTGCTGTACACCGTTACCGTACCTGGCGTAAATGTATTCGTTGACTACTTAATCTGCCTTATCGCACTCATAATAAACTACTACCTCATTTATGTCAAGATCGTCCTGTTGAAAATCAGTTGCACTCAAGATTTGAGAAATTATTTAAAACATCAGTTAACAACAAGAATCTTTGCATCAGGACTTGTAGTAAACATGCTTTTTATGGAAGTGGTTCTAATATTTGTAATAATATAAATTATATTTGTTTTAAATACAGTATTTCGAGATTTAACTTTTTAAAGTGCAAAAACACAATTTGTTCTAATATTGACAATGATATTGTGAATCTTCAAAAGTCAGCAACTGTGAGAGATATGATATATTTTTTAGAATCAAACAACAAAGATATAAACCGTGAACATATACGTGAAATAATTCACCACCTATGTACTGACTGAATCTTTACATTATTGCCACTGTATAATATTGTTTTATATCTTTTGTAATGTATGTATGTATTTATAATTTAACTGTACCTGAGTACGAATAAAATATATTATTATTATATAAGGCTGTGAATTTTCCTTTTTTTATTAGTATTCTATATAAAACTATTAGGTTTTTATTTCTGTTTCTTAGTATTCTCTATAAGACTATGGGTTGTTTGCGTTTATAAATATTTAATTGTATTTAGTAATTGTTATTCCATAAAGGGTGTTATTTGATTATGTTCCAATTACTAAATGCCATTCAAATAATTGTATTTAGTATGCTATGTAAGACTATGAGTTTATATTTCTCCCGTCAAAAGGCAACACCTAGTAACTCACGTTTTTCTTATCTAGAGAAAACAAAGAAAAAAGTAACGAATGAATATTAAACCCCAGCTTATGCATTGATTTGACTATTGAGTTACTAGGTTTTTCTGTGGCATACTAGGCAAATGAAGGAAGTTGCTAGGCTGTGTCATGGGTCTAACTGCTTACAAAATCAAAAGATTGGAATATCTAGTACAACAACAGGAAGCACATACCCTAGTAACTTAAAATTTGTTCCTAACTCAATTTCGATAAAAAAAAAAAACCATATTTGTAGATATTTAATTGTATTTATTGCTCTGTATAAGAATATGAGTTTTTAAAGAGGATTAACAGCGAATATTTCTCAGGCTGTGTGTTTACTTTCCGCCATTTTAACGCTACCGTTACAGACGAGAGACAAATTTCTAAGTTCCAAACACGACAGTCAACAATTTAGTTTAATCGACAAATTTACAATTTCGTCATTTTACTGGGCACTCAACTTAGCTATACGTGCTAAAATCGCTTCTTCCGGTGTTTTGGATGTTGACCAATAGCATTCCATGGTTTAAACAGTGTGAATTAATCAATAATCTCTTTATCTATTGGTTAATGGTAATCACGTGTCGGGAACCAAAGTTTCATGAAATTTAATCAAATAATGTTAGCCTCATCGAGTGTTTAGAAATGGATAATGTTTACTTTAAGACAAGCGTTTAGCTTTATAATGCAAACTTCTTAAAATTTGAATTTTTTACATTAGGACGGATAAACCGGAAGAGCGACGCTAACCGTCACGGTAACAATCATTCATATTGAACGTTGAGGCTATACGGCCACCATACACCTTGTTCTGAACACAGAGATCTACGAGCGCGTATCTATCGATATCTGACTTGAATGGTCGCCATATTCCAAAATTATATATAGTATACTATTTTGTAATATGGCTGTTATCCGTTTAACATCTGTCATGAGCACAGACACTAAATAAATTTATTCGATTTGATAAAATGAAAGCGGAATTTACACATCTCAAAATTTTAGAAATACTTTATACAGGTCACAATTCTATGGAATACAATTACTGCTTTTAACTGAGCGACGTTTCGACTAGGCTTCTCTAGTCATTATCAAGCTATGATAAAAAAAATGAAAATATGACAGGACAATATATACATGTACACAACAATGCTTAGTTAAAAGCAGTAATTGTATTCCATAGAATTGTGAACTGTATACTCCAGTTCAATTACTAAATGCCATTGAAACAGTTTAGAAATACTTTGTGTTTGCAACAAAAATCGTAGATTTACGAATTTACACGTCTCAAAATTCTAGAAATACTTTGTGTTTGTGACAAAAATCGTCGATTTACGAATTAAAATGTCTGTAAATTAGCTTCTTTAGTCTGTAATCTTTTTCTTATAAAAACAGGCAGGATGTTTACTTATGCAATTCTATTAGGTTAACGGCTTGAAATGTTGTGAAAATTCGATAGCAAGATGAACCATGCAGACGACAAACTGTAATAACACCATGCAAGGTTGAAGTTGTCCAGATGTAGTTCGGGTATATTTTACAACCGTAAGTTATGTATTTCAGATCTCGACTGGGTGGAAGCGGAAACTCAAAGATATACTAAAATCAAATTACGTGCTATGCGAAGACTGTTAAAAGGGGCCTTATACAAATTACGTGCGATGCGAAGACTGTTAATAGGGGACTTATACAAATTACGTGCTATGCGATAACTGTTAAAAGGGGCTTATACAAATACAACATTACGTGCTGTACAAGTGTTACAGCGGGTCTTATACTAAAGTTAGGAACCACTGTGACTCTGTGAGTAAGAGGCTGGCTTGATGGTCTCGGGTTCGCTCCCGGTGTTGGCCGAAAAAAAATTCCTCAGAATGTTCCGGCGTGGTTTCCCCGTGTCAGTGGTGCAGGATGGAGGGCCTGACAAGGTCAGCTGTCTAGTAGTTCGGATGTTACGAAAAGCCGACGCTCCGCGTATAAATGAAATGAAATGGGGTTTAACGTCCTACTGTTCTGCTCCGAACTGGGCTAATGAAGACATGCATACGCCATACAGTGTGCTATGAGGGAAATTTTGTCCGGACAGCAGCACTACGGCCTACACTTATATCGAATTCCAACTGTCAAGGGATCTTTTACGTGCATTCCAATGTATACACGGGACCTCGGTTTGTCGTCCAATCCGAACTACTAGACAGCTGTCCTTGTCAGGCCCTCCGTCTTGCATCACTGACAAAGGGGAACCACGGCTCCGCGTATACATTAGCGTGAACGTACAATTTCCCTTGACAGTTGGTATTCGATATAAATTTCCCTCCTAGCACATTGTATGGCGCATGCCGGTCTTCATTAAGCCAGTCGGAGCAGAACAGTAGGACTTTAAACTCCAATCTCTATATTCAGTGTATAGACCAGCTCCAGAAAAGGGGCTAAATTTTGGATGTTTGTGTTGTGTCCAGTTCACTGACATTTAATTGGTTGGTATGCTAATCTAAACAACATGTCCGACTTGATAGCATTATTACCCTTAAATGTTGACAACTATAAACCTGCCTGCTATTGGGAGTATCAAATGACATCATTTATTATAATCGGTATCATTTCTGGGGAATCAGTTGTTTATTTATTCCAAAAACTAAGTTTTATCATTAAAAAGAATGGTAGTGGATGCCAGAATAAAGAATTGACATCTTTCAATAAAGGTGAGCTATTTATAATTATAATCTTTCTGAAAACAGAACGTATGTATTATTTGGTTTAATTGGATAATGATTTGCATGTTTAAAGCAGACAAAGTACATGTACTGTAGTAGTTTGTATTTTTGTACAGAATTTGCAAATACTTAACTAGATAAAATTTAAATTGCGCATTTCATTTAAAAATTAAAGTAACATTTCTTAAACTGTCATTTTAAATATGATGAATTAACTTAATGATTAAGTTGAAGTTGATAGATAACAGCTTAACACTGTTACATATGGAGACTGTCATATAACCAATATTCTAACCAACCCAATACATAACATAGCTGTTATTTTAATTTGAGAGGGCTCATTTCATCCGGTCCTGATTTTTATACGACTACATGTTCTTGTGGATGTACACTGCTGTCGCCACTGTCCATTTGTCCGGCCATAATTTGTTTGTGGACACTCAACAGGTCACAATTGTTATCCGATGTTGATAGAACTTGAAATATGGGCATATCTCCCAAAGAGCTTGGTTTCTTTGGATATTGGCATGTACCAGACCGGGTCTCGTTTTTATGTTCCTAATGTTGATACTTCAGACCGTAACTTGCTGGATTATGACCACTGATTGTACAAAAAAACCCGCCTTTTTGTTAGCTTGTTCTGTCCATCTAATGAAGACGGACATATGCCATACAGTGTGCTATGAGAGAAATTTTGCCCAGGCAGCTGCACCATGGCTTACTCTTATATCGAATTCCTACTGCCAAGTGATCTTTTACGTGCACGCTAAGGTATACCCTGGCAGTCGGCTTTGGTACCATCCGAACGACTGGACGGCTGTCCTTGTCAGTCCTTCCGTCCGGCACCACTGACAAATGGAAGCCAGGCAGGAAAATCCCAACGAACTTTTTCGACCAATGTAGGGATCGAACATACAACCTCCGGGCTAGCGAGCCAGTGTCTTACCCACTTAGCAACCGTGGCTCTCAACAATTTAAGATACTGATGATCAATAAAAATGTAGACATTTTAGAATGTTTGGGAGCTTTTGTATACAATTTGTTCATTTCTTGTGTATCTGTATAATTATGTACATGTATATGTATCTTTGCTTACTGCATGTATCTTTCTATTATTTTTATTTGTATATGCACATAACCTTTTTATGCAATAAAGTTTCTTCTAGTACATCAAATTTAAAATATAAAAATCTTAGTATAACTTTATGTAATATTTGAATCAAATGTTATTTTTATTTATTAAATTTTTATTTTAATTATTTTTTTCTACATTTAATTTGAATGTGAATTAAGTCTCATATAGAAACTGATCCAAACCCATCTAAATATAGAGCAGTGTAATATGATACTTAGCATCCCCTAAACACCACATCAGCTGTATCAGATAATTAGGCTACAACATATTGTCTTTGACAAGTTGATGACAAGATTCTCTTCAACAGAACTGTATTGTCTGTGGGGGTCGCATTCCTAAATTTGAGGAAAAATGGCTAATTTCCACCTAGTCCAAGCACTGTATTGGCTTCCAATTCCAGCCCGCGTCAACTTCAAGGTCCTGTGCCTCACATACCAGTGTAAGTAAAATCTGTCATTAGCTATATAACTGAAATACTAACACCATATCAACCAAATCGGTCCTTGAGATCTTATAACCAAAACACTCTTGTCGTTCCACAGTCACAACTGAAACATTTTGATGATAGAAATTTTAGTGTAGTTGCTCCTAAATTGTGGAATGATTTACATCTGAAAATCCGAAACAGTGAAACTTTGACTACTTTCAAATCACAGCTGAAGACTCACTTATTCCGGGAAATGCTATTAGAATTAGACTTTTTTTCATTTTGTATATTTTCTCATTCCACTCTGAGAATGCTTTTGGATGGATTTGAAGTTCTACAAAAGTACATGTTTATAATTATTATTTCATTTCATTTCATTTCATTTATACCAAATTTACCATAACATGTTGTGCGACTGTTAAAGATGTTTGCTTAAGGTTGTTAGTGGTTTTAACAGGATCTTTGATTAAAACAATAATTGACTATAATAAACACTGTATGTTGTCAATGAGTAGAGATTACACAGTTTGCCACCGTTTGTATCAATAATTACACACAACTCTTCTTCCTATTGACTAGAATAATATTAGAGAATTAACCCATACCTCTGTTACCTGTATTGATCTTTAGCAATCATTTGTTTTACAAACTCAAACAGGTAAACAGGTAGACGGATTAAACACGATCGTTACATTCAGCTAACAGCACCCAAACTCCTATCACGGTATTTAACGCACAGCGCAGTGGACGCGAACAACTGGCCTCCGGATCCATTCACTTGATTTGATATGTGTTGTTTATTGCTTACAATTTCTGTGTAGTTCGTGTCTTGTCCGCATATGTGTCTTTTCAGCCTTGTTTACGTGTAGTGCTGTTCTCCTTCTGCACGCACTAGTAAAACTCACATAACGGTATTTAAGTGATTATACTAAAGCTATATTTACATGGGTCAACTAACAACAGTCAATCTCGCATCGCGGTATTTAATAGAATATTAAAGCTATATTTACACGGGCCAACTAAAAACCGCCAAACGCACATCATGGTATTTAATAGCTATATGTGCATGGGTAATATAAAAAAAACAACTGTAAACTTGCATCACGGTATTTAATATAATACTAAAGCTATATACATGGCTTAACTAATAACTGTTAGACTCGCATCATGGTATTTAATAGAATACTAAAGCTATATTATTTACATGGCTCAACTAATAGTCAAACTCGTATAACGGTATTTAGTAGAATACTAAAGCTATATTATTTACATGGCCTTACTAACAAAAGTCAAAATCGCATCATGGTATTTAATAGAATACTAAAGCTACATCATTAACATGGCTCAACTAACAGTCAAACTCGCATCACGGTATTTAATAGAATACACGATTCAACTAACAGTCAAACTCGCATCACGGTATTTAATAGAATACATGATTCAACTAACAGTCAAACTCGCATCACGATATTTAATAGAATTATACTGAAGCTATATTACATGATTCAACTAACAACAGTCAAAATCGCATCATGGTATTTAATAGAATACTAAAGTTATATTATTTACATGGCTCAACTAACAGTAAAACTCATATGACGGTATTTAATAGAATACTAAAGCTATATTACATGATTCAACTAACAACAGTCAAACTCGCATCACGGTATTTAATGAAATATTAAAGCTACATTTAGACAGGTCAACAAACAACAGCAAAAAACTCACATTAAGATGTCTTATAGAATATTAAAGCTACAATAGCCAACTGAACACACATAATTAATCTTTTCTAGAATATAAAAGCCAACTCTATAATCAATTGCAACCACGTGCTTTATAATTACAGGGCAAATGTTACAACTAACGCCTGATACAACTTCAAAATGTCTCCAATCAGGGCCGAAACTAAACAGTTACTTAAAGATGTATCAGGTAAGATTTAGATAAAGAGCTGACCGTTCGTGATATAATAGTTCAAAAAATGATAAAGAAAAATCAAGATATTGAAAATTTCATTCAAATTACATTATTCTGGGCGAAGTTATGACTATTTGAAGATGTAAAGTAGATTGTATATTATCGTAGCAACGGTTCTGACAACCGAGACTAAGTCCCGGTTATCCAATTTAAATCTCGCGGCCGTTCTAATCCATGTAAATCACGTCCATCCGATGTTCTAGACAGTTGATTATATGACTGTTTGAAGATGTAGCGTAGATTGTATTTTATCGTAGCAACGGTACTGACAACAGAGGCTAAGTCTCGATTATCCATTTTTAAATCCCGCGGCCGTTCTAATCTATTCAAATCACGTTCATCCGATGGTCTAGAGAGTTGATTATGTACCCGTCATGTGTATAAATGTCTAAATCAGTGATTCTCAACCAGTGTGCCGCGAGATCTTCCTAAGTGTGCCGCGAAATTTTGAACGGCACACTAAGAAAATGTGAAAAACCACGTAATCCCAATTGGGTATTCACTGTTGTCTACCGATAAGTTCATAGCTGTGTTTTTCTTATTTTGAGTCCTGCTACGACGTATATGTCTATGAATAATCTCCGTCTACGGTTGTATGCCGTTTGACTTACAATGTTTATATATTTTGCAAAATTCAAATATTTTTCATATATATTTCGCCAGGTGTGACGCTATTTTTTTTTATGTGTTCCAAGGTGTGCCGTTGGCAAAAAAAGGTTGAGAACCACTGGTCTAAATGATAATTTATATAAGATTTGAAGCCAGCAAAAGATCTGCAAATATGTACGGCGAATAAATACATGTTTTTAGTATGCTTCTTAGCGAACCAATGCTTTACTCATTGAGCCACGGTTGCTCAGTGTGTGCAGTGCAGATGGAAACACAGGGACGTGTCCAGCAATTTGATCTGCGGGGGCTCCAAGGTGGTGACAACTTCAGGTCGGGGGAAACTACCCGCGAATTTGAAATGAAATGAAATGGGTTTTAACGTCCTACTGTTCTGCTCCGAACTGGGCTAATGAAGACAGTGTGCTTTGAGGAAAATTTTGCCCGGAGAGCGGCACAGCGGCCTACACTTATATCGAATTCCAACTGCCAAGGGATCTTTAATGTGCACACCAATGTGTACAGGGGACCTCATTCTTTCGTCTCATCCGAACGACTAGGGAGCTGTCCTGGTCAGGCCTTCCGTTATGCATCACTGACAAGGGGGAACCACGTCGGAAAATCCCGATGAACTTTCTCGGCCAATGCAGGGATCGAACACGCGACCGCCAGGCTTGCGAGCCAGCGTCTTAACCACTTAGCCACCGTGGCTACCTTATATCAATAATTCGCTTGCGCGTATCGGTCTTTAGCAGTGGGGGGAAAACAGAGGACCCGAAGAGACCCCACCAGGTTGGACAGGCGACTCTACTCCTTCTTGTGTGTCCAGCAATTTGAGCAGCGGGGGTCCAAGGTGGCGACAACTTCAGGTCAGGGGAAACTACCCGTGAATTTGATGAAATCAGAACCTTTGAGGACAATATTTCTGCTCATTTAGGTGTGTGAATGTATAGGATTAGAGTGGAGTGACCCAACGATGCTATTGTCATGAATGTAGGAGAGGAAAAATATTCCTTCCTTGGCCCCCCTTCTGGGACGCTGCTGCCCGGGCAAAAGCTACCTTATAGCGCACTGCCCGGTTGGTGCAGAAACGTAGGATGTCATTTTATTTCATTTTCTATATAATCAAATATGGTTATTATTCATAATAAGGTCTCAATGGATAGCAATTCCGTTTGTTTATCTGCTGATCGAAATGTTGTGGGGTTCTACCATGTTTTGGGGTTTTTTTTTCTTTTGTATTTTGTTGTTTTATTCCGATAAACGTTGATCCCGGGTTATTTAAGATTGAGAATTTTGTAGTGTTAAGTTTGCAATTTTGTCCCTAATTAGATTTTCTAAATAGAATTAACCAATCACGTCATATCTCATTAAAACCATTAAAAGCCAAGTTGTGTTTTTTAGATCCCATGAGTTGAAATCCAAACTTGATAATTTACATCATGCTGTGCAATTACTTTAGGTCATTTTTCCCAAAAGATGAATTCGGAAGTGGATAATTAAATCTTTACACGGGGTCTTTGTCTCATAATTGATACGGTTCGGTTTATTGTTGGAAAGGACTCCCCACGGTCGTAATTATAGTTTAGAAATGTTGGAACTTTTTTTTTTTTTTTTTAGATTTCTTGTTTTCAAGTGTTTGACGAGACAATGGCGAAGACTCACTAAATCCTCGGGATATTCCAGTGGTACAGGAGGAGATGGGGTGGCAACGAACTTTGTCTAGTTGTTCGGATGGGACAAAAAACGAATTCCCGTGTACATGCTGGTGTGTACGTAAACGAACCCTTGACAAATGGAATTCTATAAAAAAAAGTAGGCGGGCATAAATTCACTCAAAGCATTAATGGTCGTTTATTTTTCAGTGGAATCAAAAGTACAGTGAACCTTTTTGGCAACGTAACAAAGGGTCATTATAGGCTGGTTACTAACGGTTAGAGTAATCTCCCCCTGGGGGTGTAATATGAGTTCACGGTTCATCACTGACGCTTGATTCATTAGCTCATTGCTAGTCATAATGACGTATAATTTAACACTAATTACCTCCCCTTTGTTTAGTTGTCGTTTGTAATAGAGTTACCGTATCATTAACAACTTCATTCATTTCCTTGACGTTTGCTATTTTAAATTTCAAATTCTATTAATAGAGTAAATTCTTCTTTAATTTGACTTGATTTCAAATAGATTATTTCTAAAAGAAAGAAAATATTATTGTCAAATTTCCTACGACATAAATCTACAAACGAATAATATTCCAAGATAGGTTTAGTTATCGTAATCCGTTTCTGTTTGATTTTAATGGCTGCGTGGCGGCTCGATGACTAATGCTTCCACTTGTCAGGGGCACGGGAAATGAAATGAAATGAAATGGAGTTTAACATCCTACTGTTCTGCTCCGATCTGGGCTAATGAAGGGGAACCCGGTAAGGAACAGTGTCTAGTCCTTCGAATATGGGACAAAACCCCAAGCTCCCGTGTATACGTTGGCATGCACGTAAAACAACCCTTGACAGTTGAAATTCGATGAAGAGCAAACAGAAACGCATCGGGCCGTGCTAAATGTCTCTCATAGCCCGGTTCGAGCAGAAACGTTCCTGTCTTACTGCTTTGTGTCTATTTTGTTTTTGCTGTGTTCAAACCTTGTCTACCACGAACCAGTATGTTTTTACAGTGTTCATACCTTGTCTGCCTCGAACCAGTAGATTTATTATATGTTTCACAACGAAAGTCCGTCTTCATTAGCTCAGTCGATGTAGAAAATTAGGACGTTAAAACCCCATTGAATTTTATTTCAAAAACAAAAGCAGAATAATAAAGTCTTTTTCATTTAGCTATATGAACTCAAGAAATGAAAAGTAAATAATTAATGTGTAATGGCCTCAATACACAATTCTTAATGCAAACAGTTTTGTCTGCAAAACAGAACGAAAAACAGTTGTTCAGCACTTTCATTGGTGCATAATTCCGTGCTTGGAATTCTTAAATAGAAAGAAAAAACAAAAGTCAATCTACTCGCACTGTTATTCCACTCCGAACGTGGCCATGCGTTATTTTCCTTTGTGAGCGGACGAGGTTTATCGCGGTTGTTTAAATTATTCTACTCGTGTAAGATAAATACTTAATAAATTAATAACCAAGTTAATGTACTGATTAAACCCCGGTATATGAATATTTAATAGCTTATATAGATTAACTTTAGTGTCATTTAGTGTTCTATTAATCATGCGTGAAAAAGGAGTCGTGTTGCTTATAGAGTGGTCTCCCTTGACATACCATTTTTCACACCAGTCGTGCGTGAATCAACGAATATAATGACATATTGTTCATAATATCATAACTCTAAGGATTTACTATACTTAGTTTAAACATTATACGTTTCCTAATCAAGAAAAGGGTATTTGAACGTTGCATGTAATAAACTAGATTCGCTTTTGCTTTTTTCACTTGGTTTATACTTGGTTTAAACATTATAGGTTTCCTAATGAAGAAAAGAGTATTGGAACGTTGCATGTAATAAACCAAGTAGTATTTTAAGTATGCGATTCGCTTTTGTTTTCTGCGCTTGAAAGCATGAATTTCATTTGTATCAAGAATATTGGTACTAAGTCGAACTGCGAGAATCTTACTTATTTTGATGGCTTACAAATTACGATGTCCGTGTGAATGTCTTGTGGTATCCTTTATTGCACCCGTTGTTCTTGTGGCATCACGCAGCATGTGTGTATGTGATATGTCTTCTTTGTGTTTTTTAGATTGCTGTTGCGTGTTTTGCGCCCTCGCCCCCACAAGCTTCTGGTACGATCAGACTAACTAACTATATTGTCCTTCTATTTATCTCATGACCATGTTATCCAAGTTTTTTATTTGGTTGTTGTTGAGTGTTATTGAAATAAAAATGAATCAGATGTTAGTCCCGGAATGACCTAGTTTGTGTCGTGTGGGCGTAACCTCCCCTCTCTCTCTCTCTCTCTCTCTCCCTCTCTTTAAAATTTGATCGTTGTTGTGTGTTGAACCACCCCCTGTCCTATTAGACTATTTAAGCTCCCCTATTTATATTTCTCAATTCAGGAACATGTGATTATATTAGAAGAGGCAGTCGGACAATTTAAATGTCATATCATTATAAAATGAACACGGGACTATTCAGCCATCAATAACCATTAGGGAGTTTTTGCCAGCCCTTAATATCAACAATCATCTGGTCTATCATACAATTGGTTTGTATCAACAATAACGATGGTTGACAGATGGTGTTTCTCAAATCGTTATCCATCTCTTGGGGTCATTTTATATTTCAATACATATGTCGCTTTGTTCATCAGGGGCTGTTGAATTCCCTAAACTCAAACACGCATCGTTTTGTCATAATTGTATTTATTTGTCAATTATTCGTTCATACTATTGAACAAAGAAGTGTCTCTCTATATATATTATTATTATAATACAATTTATTTAAATGTTTGTTATAACATTATTTATTTAGATATATTCCCCTGAAAGAACCAAGCATCGTTTTGTCATAATTGTATTAATTGTACAACTATGTGTTAACTATCGCTCGTACTTTGGAACAAAGCAGTACTATGTATTTCTTATATCCCTATTTATTTATTTAATTGTTTTCCCTGAATTGAAACACGCATCGTTTTAACATAACTGTATTATTAGTGCAACTTTATGTTAACTACCGCGCTTACTTTGGAACAAAGAAGTTACTATATATTTAAATGTTTCCCTGAATTAAACAATGTATTATCAGTATTCTAACTATCGCTAGTACTTTGAAACAAAGCAGTCTAAATTATTTTCGAACAAAATGTATCCAATAAATATATTTAAACACTATACAAATATAATTATGACGGAGTTTATAAAAATTCATCTCACAATAAAAATTTTTAACAGACATATAAATGCATTGTTTGAATTCATTGTAATTAATCAAGTGAAATGAAATGAAATGGGGTTGAATGTGTTACTTTGCTACATCGACCGGACCATGAAGGCGGATCTACGCCATGCAGTGTGCTAAGAGGGAAATTTTACCCGTTTTTTTCGTCTCATCCAAGAGGCTATAGACATATGTTCCTTGCTAGTCTGCACAAGTGATAAATATTACGAATAACTGTTTCGGTTTTTAAAATATTCTGTTCTTCAGGACCGACAAAAACATCTTGGATTCCACGATACAATTGAGAGGCCCATCAGAACATTTCAACGAAATTCACAGGTGGCGCTGGCTTGCTTTGATTGACTATTTCCTATACACGTATCGTCTACAGTGGATTCCGAATATTTACAAATTTCAATTCATCACATCTTTTTAAATACTGGGGAGGGGGAGGGGGTGGATGACCGAATGGTTAGCAAGGTCTGTCATTGAGTCAACTGGCGTGGTTTCGATTCCCCGGTTGTACGTGACAAGGAGCGGGGTCGCCTGTCCAACTTCGTGGGTTTTCTCCGGGACCTCCCACTGCTAAAGACCCCTACGCGTAAGCAAATTATTGAAATAAAATTGAACCATATGTTAGTACCGAAATGACCTGGTTTCTGTCGAGTGGACGTTAAACCGCATGTCTTTCTTTCTTTAAATATTGCCTGGAATTGGCCAATTTTTGATTAATATTCCGTTTAAAAGACCCAGCTTCCACAATTGTGTTGTTTGAAGGGAATTTCAAATGCTTCAAATGACGATCCGTTGCTGCAGTGTTTAAAATTTGAAAACAAATAAAAGATCTTTTTTATCATAAACATTTTTTATAGCAATCCATATTCATTCAATGAATCGAATAATCGAACATTCGTGATTATTGTAGCAATAATCGTGAAATAATAGAATCATGATTTGTTAAATTTCAGTTTTATAGTTCTTTGTGTTCGGGGTGAGTAGAGTATGTTATCTAACGCCTCGGTGTTCAAATTGCCGTGACAGATAACGCAATAAAACAACAAAAGAAACGTCCGATAAATCAGCTAGTGAATAGAAATCCGATCCGTCTTATGCACGCACATAAACACGTGTCGACTCGTGCATAAAACATTTTAAAATAAATGTAAGAGGGGTTCTATCGATTACATTTTCACAATGATGAAAGTTTTCTTCGCCAGAATTACGTCTTTTCAACCACTGACATTAAAATCGAGTTATTTCACCAAAATAGGGATAAGTTGTAAAGGCCATTGTTGAGGGGCACGCGCCGTGTTAATCAACCGTAACGGAGCGCGTGTCCTGATATAGGATATACACAAACAGTCAACAAGGGCTTGGCGAATATGAGACTTAGTTATCAAGTCTTAAGTTTCAAATTACTCGAGTAACGTTCTTTACAGGTCCTGATGTTCGTGACTTGAAATTATAAACGGGTCTTCTTGATCGTTTATTTGCAATCGTGAAAAATTTCAATAACAAAACCAATCTTATTCTAATGGAGCGTGCTGCTTACTGATTATTTTCTAAATAAATTGAAAATTGTCGAGTTCACCAAATAAAGTTGTCACTCATTGTATTAATTACGAAGAGATTTTATAGCAAAATGAAATGAAATGAGGGTTATAACGTCGCCATTTTCTGCACCAACCGGGATAATGAAGACAGACATGCGCCATGCATTGTGCTATGAGGATATTTTATCCGGGCAGGGGCGTTTCCACTTACTCTTAGGTTAGATCTATTTGGCAAGGACAGCTTAAAGTTTGGTCAAAGGTCACGAAAGGGAAGTTCTGCCACTCTGTCCATTAAAACCAGATTTCTATGGGCGGTTTTTAGATGACGTTTTCATAGTCTGGACCTACCCACTAGACGAATTTTGGACGTTTTTCAACATTCTGAACAATCATCATCCATCTGTCAAATTAACCGCAAATGTAAGCCATAACAGCATAGATTTCCTTGATACTACCGTTTTTAAAAGTAACAACACCAAAATCACAGGCCAATTGGAAACTAAAGTATTTTTCAAAGAAACCGACACACATCAATTATTGTTCAAAAGCTCCTTTCACCCAAAACATACATTCTCTGGCATCATAAAATCTCAGATTCTCCGTTTTCATAGGATATGTACTCAGAAGACCGACTTTGAGTCAGCATGTACATTGGTATTTAGCAAACTAAGGGAAAGGGGATACTCCAAACGCTATCTACGACGTATAAAAAACAACACTCTAGCTGAGCTTGCCGCCAAAGAAACAAATAATATACAATCAGCACATAAAACCAAAATTTGTGGCCATCCAAGATGTCAAACATGCAAAATCTTAAACATATCCGACCATTTCCATAACAAAACATCTGGCACAAAATTCCCAGTAGTTCAAACATAATTTATCTAATCTCATGCAGAAAATGTGACAAGCAATACGTAGGGGAGACTCAAAATGCACTTAGGGAAAGAATTAACGGTCACCGGTCTGACATAGTCACCAAAAAGGACAAACCTGTCTCAATTCATTTCAACCAACCAAATCATGACATTTCTGATCTCATTGTCACGCCAATAGAAAAGACCAAGAGCGACTTTGAAACTTCAGAAGAAATTAAAACGTTTAGGCTAACAAGAAAAAAATTCTGGATTGACAAATTGAAAACAACAGCCCCCCTAGGTTTGAATATTCATACGGCTAGCGCAATAGCTCCTTTTGTAGTTCCATTTAGCGCAACAGCAGCAAGTGCGTCCAAAATCATCAGAAAACACTATACTGATCTCCAAGAAAATCACCCGAAAATATTCACACAGAAACTTATAATTGCATATTCTAAAAATAAAAATCTGAACGACATCCTAGTGCACAGTAAATTAGATTAAATAAGACCAGTCTCCACCCTGACCCAAAACAAACCATATATCAAATCCTATGCCTAACCGTTAGTTATTAAAATCAATTAGATATAAGAATCCCTAGCCGTAACCCGGTGATGTGGAACAAACACGATTTTTTTTAGAAAATCCAATCCGTTGTAGGAAACACACTAATGTGGCTCTCTCCCGAGAGCCTCAAATTTATTTTCTTTTTTCTTCAGAAACAATAATACCAGAATACCAGAAGCACCACCCAAGGAAGACCATCAGCGCCACCAACACCAATAAACAGTGAAATCGCCTTTCTATATAAATCTAATGTATTGTATGTATTCTAATAAAACTAGGAAATACCACGAACTAATTTTTCATCATCCTAGGTCAGTGCTTATGTGGAGACTTAACCTCTCCCCCCAAATTCTTAAACCTAACCTACAATCTCGCCAACAATCACGTGCCCTAACCTTATTTACATCTCAGCGACCTCGACGAAAATTGAATTTATATGGTTACGTGAGAATTTCACCGGGACAGCAGCATCTCCGCCTACTTTCCGTTCTATCAGAACAACTAGACACAAAGTGCGTTTCAGCCCAACTAGGGCCACGAGATATTCCAGAGTCATATACATCCTTAGACACTTAGTCAAACTGCTAGTATATAATTCGACAATTCTAGGCCTATAATATCTTTATTATATTTTATATTCTGTTCTAAACTTAAAATCGTAAACACTAGTATGAATGAGTGTTAAACAAACGATGACAGGGTACTGATAACGATGTGGGTATGGCTTCCGTTATTTACATCCGTTGTTTTATAGATTCTCAAATGTTGTATTACTTATGGTATGAACATCCTTGACATTTTTACAGACATAATTAACACAAGAATATTTTGGATATACCTACGACGAATTTATTAGCAATTCCCAAGATATCAGATTAAGACCGATGTTAAAAGAATTCACGATTATGTTCACTCCTGCACTTAACTATGCTATAACCTAGACATACAGCCTATAATTATTGAATGAAATATGGGAACGAATGAAAGTCAGCTTCCAGTACAAAATGTCTGAGAAAGAGATTATATTGGAATAAAAATTTATTTTTTAAGAATTATTGTATTTACATTTAAAAATGTAAAATAATGAAGTCTCACTAAGCGCGACGTCGTGTTAAAAAGCTTAGCATTGAAAACAAAGCGAAGCGTGACGCGATGGCTATAGAGAGTTGATTATGGGCTTGTCATGTTAATATAATAGTTCAAATAATAGTTCACATAACATTTCAAACCAAAATAATGATCTGCAATAGGAAGATTTAGCTACTTTCTGTGCCGTCACAGACAAAAACATTATATCGCTGCACTATATTTTTCCATTGACATAAGAATGACACGTGATTCAACATACTACTATTAGTACGTTTCGGCACCAACAGGGCTAATGAAGACGGGCATGCGCTATACAGTGTACCGTGAGTGAGATTTTACCCAGACAACATTTGAATTCCAATTATCAAAGGGGGGGGGGGGGATGGCCCAATGTGTAGCACGTGCGTGCTGTATCACATGGAGTGGTTTCGAATCCCCAGTTGTACGTAGCAAGGAGTAGGGTCGCCTGTCCAACCTCGTGGGTTTTCTCCGGGTCCTCCGGCTTCCCCCCACTGCTAAAGACCCCTACGCACAAGCAAATTATTGAAATAAAATTAAACGATATGTTAGTCCCGAAATGACCTAGTTTGTGTCGAGTGGACGTTAAACCCCATTTCTCTCTCTCTCTCTCTCTCTCTCTCTCTCTCTCCAATTATCAAAGGTTCTTTTACGTCCATGTCCGGCAAGGGACAACGTATAGTCGTTCGGATGTGACGAAAATCCGAGGTCCCGTGTACACATTGGCGTAAAATATTCCTTGGCAGTTGGAATAAGATATAAAGAGTAGGCCGTAGCGCCGCTGTCCGGGCAAAATTTCCGTCACAGCGTACTGTATGGTGTATGCACGTCTTCATTAGCTCAGTCGGCGCAGAACAGTAGGACTTTAAACCCCACTTCATTTCATTTTTCAGCATACCTTCTAAACGACTAGACCATGAACGAAGACAGTGTCATGACACTAAAACACACATATTTTCTTTTACCGCGGATCAAAGAGCGGATGCTGACCACATAAACAATGTCCACTGTCCAGCCCGGCTATATAATAATTTCCCTAATTCATCGTTTGACCCATTAAGTGAGACAAACCCATTAATTAAGCAGTAATAAGCCTTGGATGTCAAAATAATTAATCGCCATTTATTTTAAATTTAGGTACATACAATAGTCTTGAATAATGTCCATTACTTGTCTCTTTACTAACGGATGACGATCGGCGCTGCACGGGTTGAAGGTAGTATAACCCCGAGAACGCCACCTAGCCCATGTTTCCCCCCGGTCCGAGATACTACTATGCACCACATTTCAGCCTCGGGACATCCCTAGTGTAGCCGCCAACCACGAACAGACAGACAAACAGACAAACAAACGACAGTCGCAAATAATTAGTATAGATAACATCACTTATTGTAAACACACGTTATTTTGGTTACTAACAAATTTAAGAATCAGAGTTTTTAAACATTGCACATGAGAAACGTTGATGTTTAGAAGATTTAATAAAATCGTAATAATATTATATGAACCCCATGCAAAGACGTGACGACCGTGGTATGGTTGGTTTTATAAATTAATCAAAATATTACCACTTTCCTTTGTGTCAGACAAACAAAATATACTATAATATAGAAAATAATAACACATTCATTATATCAATATCTGCTGTGTGATCATCCACTTAGTGTAAAAAAAATGAAACCGGTTTTTTTTTTATAAAACGAAATATGTTGGTTTTACATGTCGGGGCCGTCTTTGATATGAGAAAGGATGAAGATGTGTATCCCTAGCGAATCCAGTCTGACAAGTACTGATAAAACAAATATCTACTGTTTGAAGTTTGGTATAGAAGACCGTGATGTATATTCTGCGATTTCCTATCTTTTTATTTATTTATAAGCTTAAATCATTACTTAATTACATTAATTAGAAACACATCATCGTAGTCCTTTCAACATCTAACCCCCACTTAGTCACTCAACTCTTTTATTGTTTAAAACTAACAGCCGTCTCTAGCTACAGCCATTGAGAAGGATTCCACATATGGCCCGCTACCATTACCATTCTAGCAGAAATCACGCATGCGCTTGTTCTATTTAGAACGGCAGCAGACGAGAGAGAGAATGAAATAAGATCGCGCGTGTTTAGAAGACTTCAGTAGCAGTGTATTGAGTGACGTACGTACGTACATTTCATGTGTATTTTGGAATATTGTCGATTAAAAGAATGGATATAACTATTTGGATTATCGGTTGGCTGTTTTTAATCGGATATTTGGATATTCTGTGTGTCGAGTCAAGTAAGTGAAGTTTTTGTATTAAATAATTCAACACAATCAGCTGTTTTAGAGTCGAATAACCGTTCACACAAAAGTTACTCGACTTTTTGAAGTAAGGCTTCTATTGCAGTTCCTGTATCCCGGCTGTTTTGGCATCGAATCGAGGCTAATACAGGGGTATATATAACTCTATTTTTAGATTCCCCCCATACCACCTTTCCTTTCAACAAGCCAAAATATCTTCTGGTAAATAGTTTAGCCATTTTATATATATGTATATCATAAGCGAACGTAAATAACTCGGGGAAATATAATCGTATCATATTAACATTAAATAAATAAAATATATAAGTAGGCCTAAATATGAATGCAATTATAGCTGTAAACGATATATAGGCCTAAATATGAATATGAAAACAATTAAAGCTATAAACGATTTTTTAGGCCTAAATATGAATACAATTAAAGCTATAATTTGAATACAATTATAGCTACAATATGAATACAATTAAAGCTATAATATGTTGAATACAATTACAGCTATCAACGATCTTTTTTAAGGCCTAAATATGAATACAATTAAAGCTATAAACGATTTTATTCACACATATTTTAGAGGATCATACACAGTAAACTGGATCAAATCTATAGGCCTGAATATGAATAGAATTTAAAATATTTGATTCATTTATACAATTTTAGAGATAGCTATGGGATTTAATTTATTGTACCATAAGAACAACTATGTACATGTACACACATTAAAACAAAAGTTTCTGAACAGGAATAATCGAGGATGATCACCCGGACCTTAAGGGTTTCAGGGCAGTGGCATCTGTCAGCTAGAGGGAGGCCCTCCAGAGGTTTTTATATGTAAAAAGTTATTTTATTAGTGAAAGCTGAATCCCGTAGCCTATAAGTATTCTAAATAATCTATTGTAACAAAGGGTTCAATTAATATGTAAGTGTAGAAAAAAGCACAGGTTTTCTTGTGGCTAAAACAATTAAAAGATTCATCAAACATAACCGTACCTCTGGGATCTATACGGAACCTTTAGCCCCAGGCCTATAGAATCTTCATTCGAGTCTGTTTACTGAGAAATTATCTGGAGACCTCTACATTTTAACCGTTGATATTTGTTTTACAAATCTAAAACGAACTAACGTTGTATTTAACTCACAAATCATACATTATATCATACGCCATTAAAATCCTGCTGATAATTGTCTATAATGGATTGATATTGTTGGTATTAGTAATGGATTAATGATAATAGTTTTGATATTATATAAACCTAGTGAGAGAGTTTGAATTATTTCGGGGTCACCTCACTTAACCGCATTACCCGATTGTGATACAGTAGTACGTATGACTAACGGTTCTCATACAAGTTGGCAACCATATTGCGATTAATAAGCAGTGTATATGCGATAAAATAAAATTTAGTTTAACAGTTATAGATCTTGTTTCTCTGCATCAGCCTGGATAATGAAGATGGGAATACGATGTAGTTTCCAATTTTGCCTGGGCAGCGGCGCTACCGCCTATTCTTATTTCAAATTCCAACTGTCAACGATTCGTTCCCGTGAGCAACAATATTAATGTGTACATGGGATCTTGTTGTTTTTGTCCCTTTCGAATGACTAGACACTGGTTATTGCTAGGCTCTCCAAACTGCACCACTGACAAGAGGAAACCACGTTGGAAAATCCATCGGAATTGGAGATTTTCCTAGCCATCATCGGGAACTAATCCCTAGTTATTGAGCCAGCGCCTTACTGATCAAGTCAATCTGGATGATAACAAAACGTAATCTCTCTCCCCACCCCTCTCTCTCTCTCTCTCTCTCTCTCTCTCTCTCTCTCTCTCTTCTGTGGCTTTAACCAAAGGACAACACGTTTAAAGGACGGGCATCATGAATGAGGGTGAGAGAATGTGGGTATAATTACCAGTAATTTTAACATGGTTAATATTGTGTGTGGTATTTAAATTACTCTACAGTAATCTCTGTGAGAACCAGTATTTATACTATAATAACCCCGGTCTATATATACATACAGTCAGCTAGAATAAAGGGAGTGCGTTCCTGATTTCAATACGATGTATACGTGTGTATTTATGGTGTCGGGCTTAAGTCATTTGAACAAAAAATGTTTCAAATTCGGCTCCCACCACCGCTCACAGGTTTCTGTGAAAACCTGAATATGTATATATTTATATTATAATGGCTCCGGTCTAGATATATACCGGGGACACGGTGGCTAAGTGAGTAGGTCTGGAAGTCGTGGGTTCGATCCCGGTGTTATCCGAGAAAGTTCATCGGTATTTTCGTGGTGTGTGTGTAGGGGGGGGGGGGTGATGAGGACAGCTGTATAGTCGTTCGGATGGTACAAGAAAATCAGCTCCCGTGTACACATCGGCGTGCACGTAAAAGATTAAATATCCCTTGATACAGTTGGCATTCGATATAAGACCAGCCCTCATAGTACACTGTATGGGGTATGCCCGCCTTCATTGTTCCTGTTGGAGCTGAACAGCAGGACGTTATACCCCATTTCATTTCATTTTATTTTCAATTCAAAAACTAACTTCCACTCCCTTCATTTATATTCTTCTTTTGATACAGATTAAACAGTCAGAACCGTGTTGACCTCTGATTCTGACATTTATAATATACCCTTATCCTCTAAAAACCTCAACTAAAAATAGAAATTAGACAGAAACTCGGATCAGATATTTTGACTAAACGAGACGGTTTCGTTGTAAATTATAAAATGATCCTCGTTTAACGTGTTTATCACCATTTAATGTTGCTAATAGTTGTTAGGAATCTTCATGATGCCCGTGGTAAATGCGTTGATTCGTTTATTTTGAAATGCAGGTTTGAAAATTGAATTCCGATGTGGATATGTTGCATAACGGGGAACGTATCTCGTTTTGTATGTCCATTAGAAACGCCAATTAGACATTTTAAGTTAGAAAAAAGAGCGCTGGTTATTTAATGTGCCTCTTTATCTGGGTTCATCATCATTAGATGATTTAAAGGTAGTTATTTATCGTCATGGAGTGTATTATCAGTAAATAACACTGTAACGTAAATTAGAGATTTGAATATGGTTATATGGAGTAACATTGATATAACATTAGTCACGGCTAATATTTTTTTAAAATCCAACAATACATATGTTTTATTTTTTAAAAAAAAAGCCTATACATGCATTTTGTTCAGCAATCACAGAAATGTGCTTAGCAGACTGAACCAATGTGCCTTATTTGAGAAAGCTTATACTCGCTGAACGTCTATTGGTAATTGACTTGTAAACTACAATATTGTTAAAGATAATCTCAAAGAATAACAGTCCAAAAATGGTTCAATTCCGTTCGGTATTTATAAATGTTTGATGAATTGAAAATTTATCTACGTTTGGCATCCATTGCACATGATATATGGCATAATCATCACAGGCCAGTGTCACCATCTTTTGATGGACCACGTTTTAATCGGATTGGATCTACTGTAAGTCGGGAGATTATCTACTGTGGATAGTTTGATTTTGTATTCTTATTTAAATGTTAAGTAATCAAATACTAACGCCTTCTCCTCTTGGGCCCCTTACAAACACAGGAGCCACGATGGCTAGGTGGGTTAGACGCTGGCTCGCTAGCCTGGAGGTCGAGTGTTCGATCCCTGCATTGGCCGAGAAAGTTCATCGGGATTTTCCGACGTGGTTCCCCCTTGTCAGTGGTGCAGAACGGGGGGGGGGGGCTGACAAGGACAGCTGTCTAGTCCTTCGGATGATACGAAAAACCGAGGTCCCGTGTATATATTGGAATGCACGTAAAAGATCCCTTGGCAGTTGGAATTCGATATAATAGTAGACGATAGTGCCGCTGCCCGGGCAAAATTTCCCTCATAGCACACTCTATGGCGTATGCCCGTCTTCATGAGCCCAGTATAGGAGCAGAACAGTAGGACGTTAAACCCCATTACATTTTATTCCTTACAAACACTCGATGCCCCCCCCCCCCCAAGATATTAAATTCTGAAAGTGAAAAATTGAATTGTCTCTTTGAATACTTCACTGAACCAAACACGTGTATCATTAGCATCACTGAACATACTGAATACAGAACAACGACATATGTATTTTATGACATTTAACAGTTGATTTATATCAAATAGAATTTAAATAATAGAATATCATACTATATACAATAGATTCAATTAGGACAATGTCCACATAATATGATAATTGAAACAATTTAAAGTACAGAATTTGACACCAGAGATCTCGTATGTGTATAAATTAACATAGCATCTGTATGATATAAAAACCATATCACATTTATCAATTAGAACCACCCGGCTGTAATTTATTATATATCTAGTTTCATTTCTGGTCGTATTTTATCCATGGTAGCCTAGTTGGTCAATATGGTGTTAGTACAGCCCTGTACTAACTATTAACAAAAAACAAGAACGTGCTTAGGCCATCAAGGAAAGAAGGCATCACAGAAAAGGGGCCCTGCTATCAGTGGCATGCTATTATTATTTGTTACATCGTCTGAAAACATATTTAGTTCAAATCATGGTCCTCATACCGGCTTGTCCACTGTATAAAATGGTTGGTGATATTATAACCACCAATACGTAGGGTCCTCATAACAACCATCAGTGCATAGGGTCCTCATAACGACTTGTTCACTGTATAGAACAGTTAGTGATACATGTATTATAACCATCAGTGTGTAGGGTTTCATAACGACTTGTTCACTGTATAAAATAGTTGGTGATATTACAAAACACCGGTTTGTTGGGTCCTCATAACATGTTTGCTGTATAAAGTAGTCGGTGGTATTACAAAACATCGGTCCGTGGGGTCCTCATAACGACATGTTTGCTGTATAGAATAGTTGGGGATATTAACACATCGGTACATAGGGTCCGCATAACGACTTGATTACTGTGTAAACTGTATAAGGAATTTGGTGTACGACAAGAGTAATATGATCAAGTGTG